TGGGGGGGGGCCCTCCCCCGCCCGCACCCCACCCCCAGGCCCCCACCGCCCTCTGGAAGCCAGGCCCGGCCGAGGCATTTTCTCCGGGGAGGGAAGGAGAAGGAGGAGGCGGCGGCAGCGCTTTCACCTGGGGGGGGGCACGAAGAGCACGTGGGTTGGGCTTGTTGAGGGCCTCTGGGGAGGGGGCCTTTGCCCCCCCGTCCTGGGTGCAGGACCCTCGGAGGGTAGAGCTCTTCCGCCAGAGGACGTGCCCTTCCCCTTCTCTCCCTTCCCCCTTCCCAGCTTCCATGTTGCCCCATGTGAATGGGGCCGCCAGCTTCCCTCTTTTAGGGGGTCAGATTGGGGGCTTTTCGGAAGAGCGAGGGGCTTCATTTGTTTGCTTTCCTTTTATAGGGCCTTGTTTCCCTTCGCAGCGCTTGAGGCAGCTGGTCCTGGCCTTCGGAGGCCAGCCTGGAGACGGGGAGACTCTTGCCCCCTCAGCCGTTTTCTTTACTGGATTTGGAAGCAGTTCAGTCTGTTTGGGGGACCTTCTGGGGCAGAGGGTGCTGCTTTATTAGCCCCCCCTCTTGCTCTCGCTCTCGGAAGGAATAACATCGTCCCCTGATTCCAAACTCCAAACGGCTGAGACGGGTTTCCTATTGGATTCGGCTTCTCTGCTCGGAACAGATCAGAGGGGTTGATAGGGTTTGGTTAGTTACCTTTTGGGGTAAAAAGTCACCCTTAGGTGACTAGCCGAAAAGGAAACCATAAACAGAAGTTGCTGTGTTTAGGCTGCAAGTAACTTGGATAGTAAGCTGGGCATCGATCTGGATTCAAAGGGCAACATGTGATTCAGAGCATGTGGGAGCACATGCACAGCACCTGTGGGGAATGTTTTAAAGCAGCTGCATCTTTTTCTAGGCTCATTTGACTGATCCGTGATTCTGGAAAAACGATGAATTTTTCCCCAACTCACATTTTCCCCTTAAATCCAGATCTCTGCACAGCTCTCTTGGAGAATAAGTTTGAGGGAGCAAGCCCAGAACATGTTTGGGAATTCTGTCTGTAAGAACAGTTGGCTCGGCAGCTGCTTAAAAAGTTTCTTCTCAGAGTGAGACAGAAGTGGAAGAGGACAAAGGGCTACCATTGTTTTATAAGAATTCGAGCCCAACTTATTCACTAGGGAGGATATCTTCCTGGAGGTGCTTGGGCTTTTCTATGAACCATTAAGAATTTTTCTCTGGTAACTACTTTTGTATATGTAGGGTCCTACCTTTTACCTGTGTTAAAAACAATTAACATCTATTGGTCTTTAGTCTGAGAGTACAAACAAATAAGGAAAGTGTAAAATTTATAGCACCTATACGTCTAAAATAATTTGCTTGGGCACATAGCACATTGTGTCTCACAAGGGCCTACAGAGTAGTGTGTGCTAAATTTAAAGCAGAAAAGATGGAAGGTTGTAGAAACCAGGTCATAAATAAAGCAGAAGGACCAACCTGGAACTGTAGTAATTACATAAATTTATCTGATCTACCACCTAAAAATTAGCTATAGAAAAGCAAAGAAATTTTGGGAGAATTTTTGAGTGCCACCCCTGAGTAGGCCGTATTACTCTTTGTAGCCAAGTTGGATGTCTTATAGCGCATTGAAGCATCAATTACTCTTCATCAGAATAACAGATAAAGATGAGAATTTATTCTCCCCCGCGTGTTAATTCTCCCCATGTGAAATCGTTCAGTATCCAAAGGAGTAGCTAATGTTTTTGTATTCTCCAGAGTGGCTTGTCCCCAGTATTCTTCTATTTTTACTATTCAGAGGGATGCTTTGTATTGTCTCAAGGCATTGTCACAATCACATTCAGAAATTTGACTTTGATATGTGCCTGTATAAGGGGTAGAGTTAGTTGCAGATTTGGGGGACTTTTCTTTAGAGGAAAAAAGCACCCGCACTTCCTGAGATTAAAAAATGCGCTCCTATCCTCTCAATAGTGATTTGGGTTCAGCGCATTAATGCAACCAAGAGCAGAACTGGTCTGATGTTTCCAGTTTCTTCAGGCAAAATTGATTCAGTGGCTCAGCCCCTCCTTGACTCCCCTTTCTCACCTGAACATTTAACCCTCGACCATTTGTCTTGAATACTGTTTTATTTTTATAGCACAGCATTCATGTTGAAGGATCCCAGTGGACATCATAAAGCTAATACCTCCAGCATCGCTGACATGCAGTCACCTCTGAGGTGGAAAGGGACAGACAACTGGTGTATCTTTCCAAAGAATATGGATGGGTCTGAAGAGGTAGAAAGGTAAAATTCTGGACAAAGGCGATAGGGTAAACCTTTGTTTTTGCAGAGCACTCTGGTGTCTTCTTTTTTAGGATGCTTAAGCAAAATTGTGCCTTATGCAATTCCTGAAATTAATACTACAAAAAATGAATTCAGCTTCTGTTTTGCTAATGTAAATTCAGCATTTTTCCCCCTACAGATGCCTTTTCTTAGCAGTAGTAGAAACAGGGTACGCTCAAGAATTATTTTGGGTAGACTTATTTGCAGGAAGTCACTAACCCCACAGCTTTTTCTCACTGCTTTATTTTAAAAGTTAGTCTTTTTAATAGATTGGTAAGAAACTAATTTTGCCTTTTATTTATACTGAAAAACACATTCCTCCTCAGTGATTCCTTTGTAAGGATGGACTGGTTAAACTTATCCAAAGTTGTGAATTGTGTCTTGCAAAGATATATCCTCTAAAATGTTTTATATTCTGGGCGGCTTCTGCCGTGTGTTTTCAAGGATCATATCTATATTATGTCCACCATTCTGTAAAAACAGATATTGTATCTTTCTGCCTAGGTGAAATGGGAGAAGACGTGGTTTGACATAGTTCTGCTTGAATTTAAGTAGCTATCTGAATTTTATCTTGAGCAGTACTTCGCTTTTGGCCTATCTCAAAGTGCCATAAAATGTTTAATATGTATGTTCCTTCAGCCACTTGGAAAGGAGAGCTGAATGTCAAAATAAAAGAGGAAAAGGGCATAGAGCAATTTGAAAATAAACCATTATGACTGTGGGGTGTGTTTTGCTTGCTAGAGAAGATGGCTTCCTCCAAATAGGGACCTGAAATGGGGCAAACTATTAGTGTATAGTTAATTATTACAGGTAGTTACAGTTAACAGGCAAATTATTAGTTACAGACTGATATCTTCAAGTTTTCTTGGAATGGGAAAGGAGATGTAACGCTTATTAATTTTCTCTGATGAATGTGGGCAGGTGGAACCCTAGAAATGCAGCAGCTTGGAATGTTAAGCGTAAAGGAATCCTTTGCAGATACAGAATTGGCTAGTTGTCTTAATCTTTTTAGCTGAAAACTGACAAATCAGTCCTGGCTGTAGTGCAGGCTTTTATTTTCTCCTTGGGATTATTGCTGAGAAAAGCAGTTTTAAATGACGGATGAGAGACGAACGTAGTCTGCGATTAAATCCAGTATTTTTTAAATTGACGAGATTAACTGCATTTAAGGGTTTCATTTTGGAAGGCAGGTAGGAACAGGACAAACAGTTCAATTACTGTGAGAGTGCTGGTGCTATTAAGTGCAAAATGTGCTCCAGAGCAAATGAAAATGAGATTGTTTTGTTTGGGTTGGTTATGAAAAATATTGTAACTGAAGAAGCAATATATGTGGTTATTATATAACCATACTGTATATCCAAGTTTATTTTTAGCACTGGAATGTTATTCATTCAATCCTCCTTTGTCATTAGATTTGGCAGTTTTTATTCCCGTTTTATCACCAGGCGGGGCTCACCAAGCACAGAGGGCAGACATGTGGTTGGTTAATATTTGGCCCAGTGCATTTCACGAACCCCAACAGCTAAGTTAAGCAAGTAAAGGGTTGGTTCAGTTAACCCACCCAGGTTAACGTATTGTGCAAGCGCAGGCTTGTGTTAACCCAGAATAAATGAAGGTAGTAGAGGCTGTCTCTGGAATTAAAGGTGGAGGGGGCAAGTTACCAGCTTGCCTTCTGATAAATAGCAATTTTCTGACTGGCCATTTGCACCATGGCAGCCATTTTGTAAGAGCACCCAGGATGCCCTCTCACTCTTCCTGATAAGCTTTTGTGGGTCAAAGCGATATCTGGAGCTTGGCCCAAATGGTTTTCCTTTTCTCCAGTTGTGGCATAAGGGCACATCCCAGCAGAAGCTGGCCTGGTTATACACACAGCGGAGTTGTCTTTTATGCGCTGCGTTGTTGTCAGCTCCCAACTAGGGACCGCTGGAGGCTGTGACATTCCATGGCCAGATATCTCATACTGCAGACACCGGGGACACAAAGCTTGCTTGGCTACCGGAGGCTCGGAGCTCTGTAGCTACGTGATCCTTGTATGGTGAGCTTACATCCAGCCCTGGCTAGATTAACGGTAAGAGGATTGTTCAGAGACTGATAACACTGCAGGCCGGAGAGAGAGAGAAAGAATCCAATGGTGGAAGAGCCAGGATTTAAGTTTTGTTCGCTAGGAAGCTCCACCGTTACAGCATGTCTTTGCTACTTCAGCATTTAGAAATGTACACTGGTGTGAGAGCAGTGGACAGATTTGTGTTGTTTATTTTCCTATCCTCTGTAGCTCTGTCTTTTTCTTCCTTCCCTGTGGTGCACGTTGTTGGTAACTTTACCAAACATCCGAATGGTTTGGTAGTTGCAAAACCCCTTTGGTGAAGAGAGTTAAACAGAGTAGGGTCCTTTGTGCATTTATTTAATAGTTATTATAGTGCATCAGGGAGAGTGTTGTGGCTCTCGAAAATAATTGTTTTATACCTGCCCTTTTTCATGATCTTTTCCTTATTAATGAGTCTAATGACCATCTCTTAGGGCGTCGAGGTAAAGGGCAGGAGACTGCTGCTGTGGTGTGAAAACTACGCATATATTTTTCATGCCGCCTTAATATATATAGTGGTGGTGGGGAACCTTACTGATAATTTGATCTTTCCCAGCTAAATTAAGAAAGTAATTTAAAACTAAATTCATTGTTAGATTTAGTTGATGAATTCAGTTGACAGGGAGAAACTGTAACAGGACCGAGCTTGCCTTTTGAACAGTTTATTTTTATCCATACCCAAAATACAGGGTTGGGTCTGTGCATATTTGCGTGCATGTATATTTCTGTCCTGATTCTGGGCTCATTCATCCACAAGACATCAAGGTGAGTAGCAACATGGCAACGGAAAGCACTGTCCTAAGGAGGTTGAGATATGAAAACTTAATTGCTAAACATGGTATCATTAGAATGCACTGTTGAAGAAGATGCTTTTCAGTGCTTGTCCCAACAAGAAAGCTGTAATAGGTCTTCTGTCGTACTCGCTGTCTTTGGCAAAGATTTTGGAAGATGTTGTATAAAAGGCATAGTAGCAAGATGCCCTTTAAAGAGAAAGAGAAAAGGCTTTTGGTCAGCCTTATTTTATATGATAGGTTGGCCCAGGCTAGGTCTGGCTTTTGTGGATCAAAGGCAACATTTGTAATTTGGCTCAAGTGATGGAGAACTAGCATAATCTTGATAGCTAGGTTGCTATTCAGAAGCTTGAAGAAGGTATACCCCACATATTTAACTGGATAAGAGAAATCAGAACTTTTCGGATAGTAGTTTATAATGGATGTACTGCAAGTCGTACTTAACTGAGCACTGCAGATCTTAGAATTCTGTATTTTAATCAACATTTATCTCCCACCTATTCCATGTTTTGTTGCGATTCTTCTTTGCCTGGAAACAATTCAGCCTCTCCTGCTTATATTGTTGGTTCTTGGGCACCATTTCCTCACCAAATAATTTTGTTTGCTGTCTCCACAGCAACCATCTCAGATGCACAGCAGCAGGGTAGCTGGCAATCTTTTTACATTTCCTTAGAGATCTGTCTCGCTGACCCATCTGGACTCAGGGGACTTTCCCGGGGGTTCAGAAGCTTCCTTTTAAGCCAGGTGACATGTTTAGATAAAGGGAATCCCAATTTCACAAACCCTCTGCAGCTCTGGGCAGTCCGTTTTAGCTGCCATTCTATAATCTGAGCATTTCCGGGTTTCACAGAATTGTTGCTGGCAGTTTTCTGGTAACGTTCTGCAAATGAAGAGCAGCCCTCTTGTGATTTGCGCCTAAGGAAAATTCTAAATAGTTTGTTTGCCTTTTATTTAAGTGGGCTGTATTCCTCATAGCGGCTGAGACATTTGAAAAACTTGTCAAAGAAAATTTCTGGGCACAGAAGGCTCCAGTGATTCAGGAAACGGAGCCTGTCAGTTGGCGTACCCTATTTTCCTTCTCGTGGCCTTAGATTTAGTTTAAGACCTTTTAAAAATAATAATAATTCTTCCTTGAATTTCAACAAAAGTTCACAAACCAGGCTCTGGAATGGAATGAAAACCATTTTTTTAAAACCTTAAACATTTTAAATTTAAAGCCCACAGTCTGAATTCTCACAGAGAATGTATAAATGTCTTTCTTATTACCAATATCAGACATCCCAAATTCTATAGAAATATAAATGTCAGCTTTAGAATGCAGTATGCCAGATTATCAGTTCTGTGCAAAATAAGCAAGTTTACATTTATATCACCTTCCCTTTGGAAAACTTGTAATATAAATGAATAGTATTTGTTTATGTACAGTATATTAAAGGACAGGTATATTAATGATACTGTATGTTGTTGGATTGTGTAACTTGTCAATTCCTCTTCTAAGGCAGTGTTTCTCAATCTTACCGACTCTAAGGTGTGTGGACTTCAACTCCCAGAATTCCCCAGCCAGCCATGCTGGCTGGGGAATTCT